CGGATGTGAAATAAATGTATTGGATAGGTGAATGGCGAACTCCTCAGCTTTATCTTCGTCAGATGCTGCCCAGGAGCCATCACCTCGTCGGAGAGGATGGGAAATGCGGTGAGGATTTAGGATTTTTGTTGTGGTTTTCCAAAGGGAATTGTCGCGAGAAGAGAGGGAGGATAGGTAGGAGTTGAAGGATTGTGATCTGAAGGTGGCTAATTCCAGTTTTAATTGTTTGCAGTAGTAATTATAGGAGCAGCGGTCGGTAGGATGTCGGGTACGTTGCCATAATAATCTGGCACGGCGTTTGGTGCGGATTAGGTTAAGGAGGTGTTGGGGTAGAATGGTCTTTATAGGAATTCTGGAGGAGTCTTTTGGGAAGGAGGCAGTCCAGGCGGCTTGTTGGATTGTGGTAGTAAAGGAATTTACGGCACTATCAAGGTCATCGGGAGTTTTGAGGGATATGTTGAGATCAATATTATCGGAGATTATTTGGCGGAAAAGGTCCCAGTTTACTGGGCCCCTAATGAATGACGGTGGAGAAGGTTTGGGAACAGGTTCAAGTGAAACATTAAGGATTAGAGGACTATGGTCAGAGGAAAGTTCATTTAGACGTGTAATGGAACAATTGAGGGGACTTAAGCCGCTGTGGATAAAGAAATCAAGAAGATCAGGATTACGGTTGGGATCTGTGGGCCAGTAGGTAGGAGAGTTGGGGGAAAGGAGGTGAAAACGTTGGGAATTGAGTGCAGACAGCAGGGTTCGGCCACGAGAATTCGTGGTTCTGGAACCCCATTGTTGGTGCTTGGCATTTAGGTCTGCACCCAAGATGAAGTGATGTCCTAAGGAGTCGAGGAGAGAACTGAATTGGGCATTGGATATGGATCGGTTAGGAGGGCAATACGCTGATGCAAGAGTAACCGGAAAGGAGAAGGTTTTTATCACGATAGCGGTGGACTGTAGGAAATCATGTATTGGTAATGGGAGTACGTGATGGGAGAGGGATTGGTGTACAATTACAGCAGTACCGGCATGTGCTTTTCCGTCAGGGTGGTCAGTACGATATGTCAGGTATTGTGGTATATTGAAGTGCTGTTTAGTGGTTAGTCGAGTTTCAGTAATTAGTGCCACATCAATGTTCTTGTCAAGTAGTAAAGTAGATAGTTCGTCTGTATGATTTCTAACACCATTCGCATTCCAAAGGAGAATGGATATGGGTTTAGGGATGTGAGTCATTTAAGGATTTTTCAAAGGAGGGATGAGGTGAGATACGAGATTCGTGAGGAGTGATATGAGTGGAGTAACAAGGGATTTGAAATCGGTGAGGAAAGATGCTAACAAACTTGTGAGATCAGTTGCATTTGAAGGAGGAGGAATATGAGGAATTTGTTGTTGGTGGTTAGGTATATTAGGATGAAGAGGATTTTGAGGTTGGGGTTGAGGTTGTTGTTGTGGCAGGGCTTGACATTTATCGGTTAAAGTCTTACCTCTAAGTAGTTGGGAGAATGATACATCATTGTTTACAATTCTGGAAGGCTCTCTCTCTCTTCTTGTTCTTAGTGCTTCATCTTGAATCCGGTTTTTCTGGTGTCTGGTTTTGAGATTCTTGTAAATTTGGCAGCCTTTGTAGTTGGCCGGGTGTCCCTCCAAACATAGGGCACATACTGCTGGATCTTGTATAGGTTTGGTGCACTCTACAGATTTGTGCTGTTCACCGCACTTCACGCAACGCGGCAAATGGTGGCAATATGACTTCGTGTGGCCATAGGTCTGACAATTATGGCACTGCACGATGTCTCTCTTGGGATATGGCTTCTCAACTTTCACCATTGTGTAGTATATTCTTGTGATATCATATATTTTTTCGATACCTGGTGATGGCTCCAAGTCCACGAAAAACAATGGTAGTGGGATCCTATTTCGTAATCCTGGCTGCTCCCTGTCCTCCTTCAAAACGTTTGTTACCTGGCGTACATTGAAACCAAGCGTCGTTAGTTCTTCTTTAATAACTTCAGTGGGGGTTGAGGAGTGTAAATTTCTTATCACTACTCGTAAAGCTCTTTCCTGCCTCAGCTGGTAAGTGTGAAAATTCGCATTTGTTTCTGATAAGTACTTCACTATTTTTCGGTAGGCTTCTGCAGAATCAGGTGTTATTTTGGTGTCATTGGTCCTGTTAAGGCATGAATAACTGCCAGAGCAGATTTTATTTAGTTGGGTGCAGAACATCTGGAAATTTTTTATATTTTTCACAAATATCGGAGGAGGCTTTGGTTCTCTGGGTATTGCTGCAGACTCCATTACTTCTCTGTCATTTTGAAGCACTTGGTAGGGGTTTGGAGTAAAGAAAGGTGATTCTTCAATCGTTTCTTGTGCAGACGTACCTGGTTGGGGCTGAGGTTCTGGTTCTGAAGTGTTCATTTTGGTCACTGGAGGTATATCTCGTAGGCAGCGACGAGTCCTTTGTTTGGCTGGTGAGCTAACTCCGTCTGACCGAGACCTCTTGGGCACCTTACTGGCCATCACTTGCTGATCATACCGCATATCATAAGAGAAAAAAAAATAAATAAATAAAAAAAAAAAAATTTTTTTTTTTTTTTTTTTAAGATAACAAAAAAAAAAGATGCCAACAGTAAATATCAACTGCTCTGATATACACTTTAACTGTATCACGTGAATAATCAGAGAGATTCCGCTATAAAATTGGTAAAAACTGAGAGAGGAGTTGAGGAGACAACCTTCGCATCAGCTGATCTATTTTTATATATAAAAATAACGATAATTACTTTGGAAAAAAATAAACAAACTAACTACCTGTATGAAATGGTGTTTAAGTTATTCCTAAAGCCCTTTTAAATGTAATTACACGAATAATAATACTTTAAGAGATACTTCTTTAATATTTTTTTCGATAAAACATGGTTATATTTTACCATTTTGGGGGGGGGGGGCTTCAGCCCGAAAGCCCCCTCCCCGTAGATTCGCCCGTGATTCAAATACACTGATGCAGTTATATATAAGGTTTTCATAGAATCGATATTATAAATAGGTATTATGTTATTGTGGCGGTCTTAATGAGTTTTTTTATTGACGAATATAACCGAAGCTCGAAAATATGTTGTTTAAGGTTTAGCTGTATTAAAAATGCGCTTCAAAAACTTCTTTTAATAGCCAAATGAGGATGAAAACGGGAATAAACATAGCGAAAAATATGGGAAATGCTTTTATTTATTTCAATTGTATATATGGATTCAAATATGTTTTATATATATATATATATATATATATATATATATATATATACATATGTGAAAAAAAAATATTGTGGGCGCATCACACAACTTTCACTTACCTCTCTACTTCGAAAAGTTCTTGTCTGGCGAAATTGGGTTATTAAAAGAAGTTTTTTATATCATTTAAAGTAAATACTTCTATAAACTCCTTTTTAATCTATGAAACATTATTTGATTTTAATTTCTGATGACTCACTCGAAGTCTGCTATTAGTCATTTTGGAGGTGATAATTAGAGAAATATTAAGAGGAAGTACCCATATAAATTATTTTAGATTCAATTTTTTTAAGATAAAAAACTTTAGAGAATATTCCTGTTTTGTATTGCATATTCATATATTTTTTTTTTTTTTTATAGTATTCTTTTTATGTAAACTATTTAGTATTTAGGCTATTTATTGACTTAAAGCTGTTCCATTTATTTATAATACATGGTTTAAAATTCTTTTTTGATTACTAGAATCAATATTTATAATAAAACAATAAAAACAAATTAAATAAATGAAAAACAAATATATGTATCAAATGGAGGAAACATAGATTCGCTAAACAGTTTCTCTTTACTGATGATGCCAATGAAACAAAAATAATAAATTATATTGTAATTTTTTTTTTAAGAATAGTTGATTTCCTTGATTGATAAAGTTGATTAGAAAATGATATTTAGATTTTGAATATATAAAAAAAAGTATTCATAAATAATTTTTGAAAAAAATTTAAACGGTGTACTTTATATTAAAATTGAATTTGCTTCAATACTATAATGATTTATTATGGTAAGATTAATTTCTTCTAATTTAATGAAAATGTTAAAAAATAATTGCTAATTGAGAGTAGTATTTTTATTAATATTATTATTATGTAATACTGTGTAATACTGATTCCAAGATGGAAAAAAAGACTTTGTTTCTTGTTGTCATTATGAATGTTAAATAGAACTATTATTTCTGATAATTAACATTCCAATAGATTCATTAATATATTGGAGTTAGTTGCTGTAAAAGGCAGGCGCATATATGGGGGTGGGGCGAGGGGGAAGATACCAGATTTCGGGCTGTAGTCCCTAAAATGGTAAAATATTAACATGTTTTATGAAAACAAAATTAATAAATTACCTCTAAAAGTAGTATTGTTCATGTAATTACATTTAACAGGACTTCAAGAATTACTTAAACACCATTTCTTATAGGTAGGTAGTTTCTTTATTTTTCCTTCAAAGTAATTATCATTTTATATATTAAAAAAAAGCTTTCGGGCTGGAGCCTCCCAAAATTAAATCCTAGATATACTAAAGCTGTAAATGTCATAGAAACTGTAAAATAAAACAGAAAAAAATAAACAGACATATTTGTATGTTCTAACATATCCGGAGGAATACATGAACTATTGAAGGATGAATGATTATAATTTCAAAATATTTTAGTATTTCTTAGACTTTTAAGGACTTAAATTAATTTTTTATTTATGTTTGAGATGGATGTATGAATTTATTTTTTAATTATCCCACCATACTCAGAAATATTCTAGCGAATATTTCCATGAATTGGGTAATAAATAGCTATCATATGATCCAAAAAGTAACTAAAAATGGTCAAATTTGTGTGTGGGGCGAGTGGAGGGAGGTCTCCGGGAGGTGGCTCAGCCAAGCAGTCGTTCGAGGAACTGTAGAATGTAGGACGGATATATAAGAGGCGGGCGGGGGCTGTGCCGACGACTAGAGTGACTATTGGACAGCATGCCCTGGCACGTCGAGTCGGTTCTTGTGTGCTGTTTAGCCTTCGCACTTCTTGCGCACGGTAGGTCCAACATATCCATATCTATCTAGTTTTAGTACATTAGTATAGTTCTACTGATAAAACATCTTGAAGAAGATCCAGGTGATAACGTGACTGATGGAACGGCTACTAAATTTTATCTGGATACAAACATATTAAAATGTAAACTTCAAAAGTGTTTTTATTATTAAGAGAAATCGGTTTTGATATATAATAAAAAAAAATTATAAACTTAAAATGTGTCCAACTCACTTGTGAATAGGAATTTAAGAACTGCATAATATATAAAGTTCGTAATACATAGTGTGCATATAAATTTCATACATAGTGACAATATCCTTCAAGATTTCAAATACCTATCGATGCCTAACCTTTACTTTCTCTTCAACTTCCTCCATTCGGAATCAAAGGCCGCTTTAAGTTCTTATATCGATTTCAATACTCTCTCGTTATAAAAACGATTTACATATATATTTATTTTATAATAGCAAATTGAAAGCAAAAATTTCCAATATTCAAAAATATTATAATAAAATTTGTTGAGGATCAGATATTTCAGAAAGATAAATTTCGATTCAAAGTCGATGACGTATTTGCCTCTCGCCTGGTCGGAATGCTCGGTATTTGGGTCAATGGGTTGCCTATTAAGTAATTAAATTGTTATATAATTCGGCATCTGGGTATGATTTTTATCTATGCTTATCTCTTCTGATATCTTGTCTTATTCTGTTACGAATCTTCCCTATGAATAGATAAGATAGATCCACATGACTACATGGAGGAATCTCAATACACACGTGCTTGTGTACCAACTCTATACAAAGAATTTCAATGACGTCGCGAACAATATTTGATCATTAAAAAAAAAAAAAGAATTAAAAGAAGAAGAAAAAAGACACGACAAAGGTTGGAAGGAGGGGTTAGAGGGGGTGGGGGAGTGCAAAAGCGGAGACTTTAACGCATTGAAAAGTTGGCGAAACGTTTCCCCCGGTTACATCATCAAAGATTGAGGGCATCCCTTTCAGACAGGACTATGAAAAAAAAAAGATAACAAAATTTCAATTAAGTCTTGGTCAAAAATAGAAGACTGGTGTTGCATAGAACCGAGGCACTGGGACACAAAGCCCTACAGATGTGTATCTTCAAGGTCTTCTCTTGTCTTAGCCACTTTGCAAACTCAAACTTCAATTAATAATCGATATCTATAGTATTAAAAAATAGACAAGATAATAAATAACAATCAAATTTAAATATGAAATAATGCAATCATAAATGTGTAAACTAATATTTTCTTTTTAATAATTTCGATAATTTGTAAACAGATAAATGTTGTTTATTACATTATAGAATAAATAATAATAATATTTATGCATCATAATGACAATAACATCAGTTTCAATGCGGAAACTTTAATGCGCTGGTGACTTTAATGGTGGTATAGACTATACTATGGCAGTAAAAATGTTTCTTCCTAGAAGTTCATTATTTTTATTACTAATTCAGTACATTCCTTGAAAAATAATTACAATGTAACGGTTTTTAATTTATTTTTTACGTTGTTTCAATTATAATGTTTATGTTAATAATAAGGAAATTATTAATTTTTGAATAATTATGGTAATGAAAAAATCTATTGCGTTTTATACAAAAGCGATTTGATTTTAATTATGTTGAAATATAACGATAAAGTTAATAATATATTAAAATTTTGTAAATTCTTTTAGGGATCGGTTAATGTCTACATATTTCAATACCTTTTATTTTTCAATATGCGAGATAACTGTACTGATTTATAATTTAATAGATATTAAATTGTTTTGTATTGTTATAAATGTTTTTTTCTGTTTCCTTTGGTTATTGGAAATGTCAGTTACATCTTTATTTGAAATCAATTTTTAAGATGGATTTTAAGTTGATTTTTTTTGGAATCGCTTGAGGAAATGCTGTATCATTTCGATTATTTACCTTTTAAATACACAAAATATATATGTAAATACATTAATATAAGCGTATAAAAGCATATGTCGAAGCGGAGACCTCGAAGTCTCCTTCGGAAAGCCTACGCCAATATGAAAACCTGCACTCCAAGGCGACCTACCTCAGCATTCTCTCACTTCCACGTCTTAACAAAACCACCTCAATCAACCTTTCCATTATAGTTATTATAAAATAGGATATTATTCACCATTAAGTATATTATTCCTTGTAAAAATATTTGTTTAACGATGTAATTTTTATTACGTAATGTCTAAGTAATATTTAAAATTAAATAATACTTATTACTAATAGATAACCATTCATCAACTAGTTTCTTATTTATCCGTTATGATCTTGTTTTATAACTAATGTTTCTGTGACTGTGATTCATAACAAGATCGGGCACATTTAATGTTATAAAATGTGGAAGACATTTGGACTTCCTAGTTTATATGAATCAGAATTTATTCAATATGATGCCTTATTTATTTATTTACAAAAAAACATATATGTAAAAACAAAAACTTTTAAATATTTTAATTGTTCTCAAATAAGATACAAAAATATATTTAATTATATTCATTATTCTTAATGCTCATATAGCATAAATATTTTGAAGGTCATTATGTAGCTATATTTTATATATCAGATCATTACAAAAGTAATGTCATGATTTAATTGTGTGACGTAAGGAGTAGAATAAAATATATGAAACATATTCAATCTAAAATGTATTTACCATCTTGTTCTATAACAGTTTGTCATCTTTAAACCAAAATTGGTATATGTTTTCTAAAGAAATCGTTTTGAGTTGAAGTAAGTAAACACCTCCTTTTTCACTTCATCGACTGATTTCATGTTCTTGCCGCTTAATGAGCGTTGGAGACTCCGAAAAAGGTGATACTCCGAAAGAGCTAAGTCAGGAGAATACGGTGGATGAGAAATAATCTCCCCTCCTAAGTCCTTCAATTTTTGCAGAGTTTTTGCAATATGGACTCTCCCATCCCCTTGAATAAAATGCCTCTTCTATGGACAAATGAGGGATGTTTTTCTTCAATCGTCCACTTCAATAAATCTGAATACGTTAGAGATCTTTAGTTATGGTTTGATTAAGATCACGAAAAAGGATTTCTTTCCATATCTCACCAAAGAGACACTATAAACTCCTTCTCTCGCTTCTGTTCTCGGTGTTTCTACAGGACTTAACCACAAATTATGGCCCTTCATATATTTTTGCAAGTTCCCAATAAGTTGAAGCAGAATTTTCTACTTTACCAAACTCCCAAAGCATAATGTGATGTAAGTGGTTTTTGAGGAGATCCATCTTAATTGAAATTTCAATAGGATGGTATCTATAGTCAAACCACATGTCTCTTATATCTTTATTTGTTTTACCTGAGAAATGACCAGATTTTCATATAGGAGATACAAATACAAGCAGGACACAACATGACAATTTTGTTGTTTCTTAATTAAAAAAAAATTAAGAAATAAAGGACTTGCGAATTGGCTATAGATATTTACAAGAAGACTTTAAAATGGCCTTAAGACTAGCCGAAATCTTGTTCTTTAAAATATTTATATTATAAAAGAAATAAAGCTGTCGTTATCAAACGGATTTATAAATTAACAATAATTTAGAAAAATTATAGACAAAAAAAACCCTGCCCATTATTACATGTGGTCTGAACTCCTCATAGCAAGAAAACAAATAACTTTTCAAATGAGCAACTGCAATGTTTTGGAACGTGTTTAGGTTAGGAAGTCATAAAAAAACGTAACTAAGGTGAATGGGTTTCCATGGAAATATGCGTGCTGAATGTTTAAAAATCATTTTTACAGTATTCAAAGGGTAATATTTCTGCTAATACTAATCCTATTTCAATGACTGTTTTTCTGTAGGGATTTCATTTATCCTTTCAAAAATTACAATTGAGTTGTGTATAAACGAAAGTTTTTTCATTTTTTTTTTTTTTTTTTTTTACATCTAAAAGAAAGCCTTAAACTAAAGCCTAAACTCTAGTTAGTGCTCATGTTTCTATGTTTAATCTGACCTCGAAGGATGTTCTGCGTAATGGTGGAAGCCGCTACCTCGTTCCCGAAGACTAGGGATCTGGGTAAATCTGATAACATTGGAGTATCGGGCCTTGGCCTCACCACTCATGCCCTTCTATCGATTCCTTCAACATCTTAGTCAACCAACTGCAGTTCCAAAGGAGATTAGTTTATTTAATTGATTCTATAATCGATCGACCAAAAGAAGTGCATTGAAGAATATAATATATTGTTTGGGAATAAGAAAAGGACTTAAAAAAAAAAAATTAAAATAATTTTAAAAATCATAAATAATGCGATTTGGTCCGTCGGACATCAGGAAAAGCCTAAATAAATTGTTTGAGCAAAAAAAAAACTAATAAAATGCCACAATTCTCCCCTCCCCTCCAAAATAAATTTTTTTTGGGTAAACAATTTATTAATATTTCTTTTTTCTCGTACATGTAAATCATATCTTCTTTAGACGTCAATGTTTTTATTTATTTAGGGATTATCTAATAATGTAGTTGTTTTTCACATAAATATTTTCTATTATGTAAATTGTTTTGATTTTTTCCTTATATTTTTATTATTGGTTATGATTTATGAACAATACTAAGTAATTCGTCAAACTTTATTTTTACCATAGCTTACATCTTATTCTTGGTCTGTTAGGTGTTATTCTTTTGCCATCTATAAACTAATTTATGTGATGTATCAGGATGAAGATACCGTTGTATTTTGAAAAAGAAAATTGTGGTCATCTATAATTTTGTTCATTATTAACTATAAATCGTTTTATTATATGTTTATTTTTTTACGAATGATGAAGGAGACTAATTTTTATTGTTTTCTTGAGATAGCTGTAGTAATTTAGTGTGGAACGATAGAAAATAAAAGATAATATTCATGAGAGATTAAAATTTTTTATATTATTTTAATAATGCCCATAAATTTTGTAGTCCATTTTTTTTTTTCCATTACAAAGGCATAACTTATTCGGATATTAT